TGCTAACACAGTATTAATAAGTCAGTACGTCAGCAGCAACACAACACACGTAATTTATCTTGAGATAAAAGCTGCAAACTTTTACTGATGCACGAAAAATGATTAATTTTTCAGTGTGTCATACATATGTTAACAAGCTGTCAACATGTGCATCATGTGTGCCATACATATGTTAACAAGCTGTCAACATTTACTGTCATTAATGTGAATAAATATGTTTTATGATGATGCAATTTTTTAAAAAAAATCTCATAATGTTATTATCTTATAAATATAATTACCTGTAACTCTATCACACAATCTCCACATACTGTAGGTCTGACATGACATGTATTTGCAATACATTTAAAACATGTTTGTTTTTTTAGCAGTTTTTGTGCTACTGTACATTAGACACAATTACGGTGTAAAATAAGTCATTTTGCCTTTTTTTTGTAATGGCTCATTAATGGTTATGTTCCATGGTTACCTGGATGACTCATACACAGCAAAAGAAAAGAAAAATAATGGTACTTCAAAAATACAGTTTGTGTTTCATACACAGCAAAAAAAAATGGTACTTCAAAAATACAGTTTGTGTGTAACTGTGAATGAATCAATTAAACCCATTACAGCCATTCATTAGTCATATGTCTTTAAAGCAACGAGTTGTAAATTGTAATGCTAGTAATGTTATTACATATAATATATATATACATCAGGGTTTTGCCTTTTCTTTGGTGTAGTTTAATAAAGAAATCCCTTTTTTTTAATTAACAAAAAAAAAAAGGGTCAGAGTCAGATTAGTTTCAACTATACACAGTAGTTACCTTTAGGTCTTTAATGACAGTAAAGTCTGAAAAGGCGATTCACTAATTAAGGTACATGATTTGTCATTTTAGACTCTTTCAGAACAAGCATGACTTTAGAGTCATCAATAAACCGCACTTTTCTGGAAACTATTTTTTTTTTCATGCCATAATCATCTCTGACATAGTGGGATTTTTAATTTAGCCACGAGAATGAACAACATCTAACAGCAAAACCAAGTTCTTAGTTGTGTTTAATCCTATTTTTAGAGTTCTTTTACTACACACTAGAGTCTAATGAAATCAAAGTGGTTTTTAACTGAGTTTCCCTGCCACTAGAATCCAGTTACGGCGAACCTGGCACTGCTAAAACCAACCGTCACCACTTAGATAAATGAACAAAATCGGCACAAATTAAATTACACACTCAGTGGTGTAAGAGATCTTGTTTGAGAGATTATTCAATTAAAAAATAATAAAAACATACATTAAAAAAAACACCATTTAGAATAAAAGAAAAACAACATAAAAAATTCTGTAAATGATGGAATACCAAGATAAAAATCACCCAGAAACAGATAAAAGCTGGAACAGATCATAATTCTGAGGTGACAAAAGTGAAGAAAGAATTTTAGTAAAAAGATATAATATATTGATTGATTGATTGATTAATGGCAGCCGGACCTCCACTCAGATCTGGACTGTCATTAAGACTCCATGTAACTCTTCCTTCACATAAATGGATTTAAAAGACAGTGAATTAGTCCACAACTGTGTAATCATCTTCTTACCTCTAATCTGCTCCTGTCTTGATCTCTGGTGTACCCTAACACACACACTCACTCTCTCTCTCACACACACACACAGGCAGACGGACGAGTGTCTGAAGAGGTGGCTCAACAGTGATCTGCTCTGCGTCCACGCCGCTCCTGCTCTGCTGCGCCCACTCCCCAATCCTCACTCACCATCTCACACACATATACAACACAAATGTGTACACTCACAGTCTCTCTCCGACACACACTCCCCACCACTGTCCTCTCCCTTCCTCCCACCCTCCCTCCCTCCAAACATACATAGGTCCAACCCTACATTTATAATGCTGCCCACACAAAACTGCAATTATGGAAATTGTCTAATGACGTGTTGTGTGGTCTTTATATAAAAGAAAATGACACACGCAGTAGACGGAGTCCTGGATATATGGTGGTGGTACATTAATAATAAATATTACAGTCCTATTTGTTCGCAGTATTATATGTAACGATGCAGGCTGTCAATTTCCACTGAACTGGGGAAATGGGTACATACAGTATTTGTTGGATAGAACATCATCACGTACTGGTGTTGCTCGATGCTCTGAGTAACTAGAAATCAAAGTTCATGAACTGAACAGATCAGCAGTTCCTGTCAATAACACACGTTGAAGAAGCTGTAGTAAAGAGGAAAAAAAATGCAGGACGTTTTTATTTGACTGTGATGTAAGAGACCTCACTCAGATATAGATATTCAACTATTCCTGTGATGATGTCGGTGATGAGCTCCTGTCTCTGGAACTCCGAATTAATGATGTTGGTGATGAGCTCCTGTCTCTGGAACTCCACCACAAATCCATTAAACTCTGCATCCACTTTTTGGGGATCAAATGAAAACTTTTGTAAATGTTCAGTGGTCATACAGACAGAGTCTCTGGTTGTGTGGTGATAAAAACACCCACTCATTATCTGGGCTCGTGTTGCATTACCATACTGATTGGCATCAACTTTAGAGAGCACTGGGCCATGAATCACAGACATCACAGGTGGGCAACTGTAAGTGTGCTCTGCTGCCTGCTGACAAACATCTTGCTAATTATGTTTCCAATTAGAGGCCATTTCTCATTAGCGTACTATGCATTCATTTGCATCACGCAGTTCAAGGAGAATTTCTTTTTGTTATTATTATTTTTATGCAAGTAATTATTTCCACTTACTGCAGACTCAGACTCAGGTCAGATCCATGAAGCATTAATAAAATACTGTAATTAAACTTTTGAAGGATTTTTGATTCATTTCAGGGATACAGTACAGTAGCTAGTCTTCATTTTGCACAAAAAAGCACCAAAGGATAACATTTCTCCCAAATTTAAACTTTTTTTTTTAAGGTTAACCTTTATTTTACCAGGGGGAGTAATCACAGAAATATTTTATTCACTCTTCCTTCATTCTTTCTGAGACTCACAGGAACACACTCCTGTGTTCCATTGTTTGGATGTGTCATTCTTGCAAGAATAAAATTAATAATATATTTATTATGTGTTCCATTGTTTGGGTGTGTCATTCTTGCAAGAATAAAATTAAGCTGCATGTTGGATCTCCATAGTAATAATCTACAGATTCTGATTTAGTTCTCTCTCTATCTGTTCTTATTGTAGATATTTTATCTTACCTTTTTATTCCCCCATCATTTTAATTTGCCTCTCTTCCTTGATGCTGAGGGACTTTTCAGCAACAAGGTACTTTACCTCAGAACCTAAGTGCACTCTGCTGCTTTAATGTTGCTGTTCAGTGATCTGTGGCTGATCAGAGTGGACAGAGTTTTGGACTGAATCAGCAACAAATGCACAGCTGTTAGCAGAAAAGAAAGAGACATCAGTGGTACTTTTGAGAATCCCTTAAATTTTTCAAATGGACCTGTTCTAACTTGTCTGAGAAATTGCAGAATAAATGTTGTTCCTTCGTATCATTGTCAGTGGTTTACTCTTGTGCTGTACTGACGTTCAGGCTTGTCTCATTCAAACTGAATTTAGACTCAACTTCTAGACTGTCCCTATTTTGATTTATTTATCTCTTCAAAAAGAAACAGTAAGGCAAAGTTAAAGGTCAGTCAGTTTCTTGAAACTAATAAACAAGTACATTCATATATTAACTGCCACCAGTGCTGTGTGCCACCGATTCACTGATCACTTTGGTAAATGTATGTATGTGATCGTCCTTCAGGGAGAAATAAATATGAAAATCCCACATTTCTTGTATGTGAGAGCCGCTGATAAGAATAAATAATGTAGCAGCACACGGGTATCACACAGCATTTCTGTTTTGTAATGAATAACCAATAGCGGTGGAGCAGATGTTTGCCCGGCAATAGTGATGCATGTTAATGAGTGACCTTTTAATCTCTTTCACATCCTGTCACCTGAAAAACAACAATAACACAAACACAAATGGTAGTGAAATGTATCATGAGAGTGGTCAAATGTTTATCAGTATCAACCTGCTGAAAATGAAATGAAGCAGGCGCGCGTTCCTCAGATTGTTTTTTTTAATACAGCCACATTTATCGCACCATGTTGTCCTTGCACAATGCCCTCTAATGATCTCAAAGATCGGGCGCGTTTAGCAGCAATTTCCGTCTTCAGTGTTTAAGTGCCGAATTTACAGTATTGTTAATTTAAGAAGGACACAGTCTAGATGTTTTTTTTTTTAATCTATTCTGCTTAAAGACACAAAGGATGGAGTCTTCCTGCAGTCCTGTGCATCTGTGTTCAAGTTCAATCAAACTTCAGTTTTTTTTTTTTGCTACCACTGAATGGCTTTGGTGCATGTGAAGGAAACATTAATAATATCCTCTTTATATGTTCTTTGGACACACATTTTTGTGGTAATGTCCTCATTCTTGCATTGTGGCATCCTTTAAATATACACACCTGGAAAAACAACCAAATAACCTCGACTGTATTTTGTTGCCGACTTTTGTAGTTGTTTTAAAATGTCTATAAACGTGTGTGAAATAGTCTTGTATGGACTGGAAAGTAAAAATACATTAAAAGTACACTTGCAGGGGAACAAAGTCAGACAGACATTTCTCAGGACACTGCTTATATACAGCAGAGCAAACCCCTCGGAAAATAAATGCTGCAAATCAATACTGAGTGTCAGCGCCTCACGGGCGCGTCCATCAGGTGAGAGTGTGGGTTGCAAACCAACAGTGCGGTGCTCAGATCGACTAATAATCCAACTGATACAGTTACAGAGTCAGAGAAAATCAGACTGCAGAATTGAGACTTTGGAAAATATGAGAATCACAAATAATAATAAAATAAAAAATAATAAAAATAATATTCCATAATTGACACAGAACTATTCTGAGTTAAATTGATGATTTGACTAGATCAGTCATATTGAAGTGAATGATTGAATGAAGAAGAAAAAGACAGAACTTGTATAAATGGGTTTTTGAAGGAAAGAGAAAAAAAATGATCGAAGAAGGAAACTTCATATTCCAGAAGTGATCGTACTTGGTTTCAGAAAGAGAAAAAAATGATCGAAGAAGGAAACTTATTCCAGAAGTGATCGTACTTGGTTTCCTCAGGAGACAGCGTCAGTCGATACAAGGTTTTTCTTCACTGTGTTTGAAAACGATGCACTTCCTGTTCCCTCCCTTGACCTTATCACTGAGCACGTTTTACCAGGACAAGAAGACAAACTGAAAGGGAGGATTGACCAGACAGTTTAATTAGACCATTGTCATGTTCACTGCAAACAAGCGAGTGAGAGAAATTGACATATTGACGACCGACAGGTTCTTACATTAAGGCTAAATGTTAGTGTGGTCCAAGATTGAGACGAAGGTTAGCTCTTGTTTAGTTCGTAATTATTGTAACATTCCTTATATTATGGTTGTAGTATCTACTAAATAATACAAGGTCATTTAAAAAACACAACGCAAGAAACGATTTCATTCACGTGCAGAAATAATGGATTTCAGACTGATATATTTGTGTGTGTTACTCTTATCTCATTCTTGCTTTTGTCTCTAATAACAGCATGTAAATGTACTGAGTGAAACACAAATGCATTGTGCCAGGCTTTGACAAAGGCATTTGTCAACATGCTCTAAGGGTTGACTGTTGTTGAATGGGAAAGTACGGTACTTTCAGGACAGGGCATTTAGTTAAGCAGCAGCAGAGGTTTATGATAAATATGTGCTGTGGACAGAGTACAGATCAGAAAATATGAAGTAGATGTATACATGTTGGATGGAGAATGCATTTTAATGATGATATGATCTATGTTATAAATGTTAGATGTCAACTCCAGGGTAGGTCATCAATGTTCTTAGGCTGCCTTCTGAACGGAATCTCTAAAAGGCTGTAAAAACCACCCTTTAAATGCACAAACAAAGACAACATTAACCAAGTCACAGACCCGCAGTGTAGTCTCTGTGACTTGTAATCTTTTCTGTCTGATTTTGTTTGAATCTGATATGCAGTTTTACATTCTGAATAGGATGTGTTTAAGACGACAAGTGTGGAAGCAGGTGGTTGACCAACTGTTATTTTGAGTTGCTAGAATACTTTTTGACTGTTGTCTCATGTGACTGCTAATAAAACGAATGCATAAACACGCACTATTATGCATGAGAACATCTGTTCGTGGTGAACAACACTTCCTTCATCTGCCTAGTTTGTTGACTGAAAGAGTTAAAAGAAGGCTGGTGAAATGTGACATATGGCGTATATAAGTATTCAAATTTAGTCAAGAAGGAAATAATTGCCAAAAAATCATGTTTTTTTTAAAAAAAAAGGAAAGTAGTAATATAGTTTATAAATTGTGATGAAGTATTTTTATGGTCAAATATTAACAAAGACGCACTTGGAGTGATTGTGTAGGGTTGTAATATTTGTGGTCACAAAGACCTCGTTCATAACCTTAAAGATTGTAAACCGCGAACTTTGATCCGTCCTTTAGATACACAACACAGACTTACGTGGGACTCGAGCCTAGTTCACGTGGAAAATAAATGCGTTTTTGTAATTAACAACTTCTGTGTTTCGTAAGGAAATAAATGCACAATAATCTGTCTATAAAGTTATCCTATCTGTGCACCAGCTAAACCACGGAAACCTTATAAAATATATTTTAACACAATTATGTAAAATATATGTATATTTAACCAAATTACATACACTTTGCATTCCTGTAGGCTAAAATAATTAATCATATCAGTCATATATCTGAGAGACGCCCTTTCCCTGTATCGTCACTGTTCACCCCGAACCAGTTGGTGGCGATGATGCACCATGAGGGGAAGTGTGATAACAGAGCAGAGGCTGGATGAGCTCCGCAATGTTTCTAACTTCACTGTGACAGTGAGGCCAACACGGCTGCGTGGTTGCATAACAATAACACCACAGGCATTTGTGAAAAAAAGAAGAGGCAATAAAAAGCCGTGACATGTTGGTGGGACTGCAGTCGCTTGTCTGTGCAGGTTCTCAGTCATCTTATCAAAAAATAGTTACATCGAGGGGAACTGGATGGAGTAGGTAAGTTTACCATCCGCCACCATACACAAAAAAGGAAAGAAAATGGAATAGAAGAGTTTTTCCTGATATAATACAAAGCGGAAGCTGGATCTTCTCCAAAATGTGTCACACGTTTGGCGCTTCAGTATCAGAGTGTGGAGCCGAGACTGCCACGAATGCTTCACAATAACACCGCAGTCACCTGGGGGGGAAAAAAGCAGTGAATAGTCGTGACATGTTGGTGGGACTGCAGTCACTTGTCTATGTAGGTTCTCAGTCATTCAGGTATTTTTTTTATCCACAAATAGTTACATCGAGGGCAACTGGACCGAGTAGGTTTTTTTTCTCATCTTCAGTTCAGACTGACAACTGGGAAGTTCTGGTATTTATCGTCAAAGAGGCTGCATACCCGTGACGAGGGTCGTTGCAGAAAGCAATACAGTGGCCCCTCTCTGTATCGCGGTACATCAGTACATCGCGGATTCTTTTTTTATTCCAATCCAAGATTTTTTTTTTCCAATCTTTATTCCAGTTTTGCTATATCGCGGTATTTTATGGTAAATATTTCCATGTTTTAATTTACAATATTTCATCCATTCATATGTCATCCTGAGTTCTCTCCCCATAAAAATTCACCCCCCCTCCCACCCAAAAGCGTTGCTCAGGTGAGACTATTATTCCATAGGTATGGTATCACTCCCATGACCTCCCATGACCTCCCCGGACTTAACCAAAGGTCATATTTCATTGTGTACAGCGGTGTGTTGTGTCACAATGACGTCCCTTCTTTACATTAGAATAGGGTGTGGCCCACCAGGTATGCAGCCTCTTTGAGGTTAAACACCACAACTTCTGATTGGTCAGTCAGAACTGAAGAAGCCTCTTGGATGCTAGCCCTCGATGTAACTAATTTTGGACTGCAGTCACTCACGACTACAGCTACAGAGCACAGACTACAGACTACAGACTCTGAACTGGGTTCATACCAAAAGAGGTCAGTTAAGTCTGAACAGTTTTCTGTCCTCTCCATTTTAGCTTTACATTATTTAAAGCTGTCTTTTTTGTCCTAACTAACTAAATTTAATGTCCTGAAGTAAATTTTTTTGTTAAAAATTTATTAGCAATAAAAAGATTGCTAAAGAAAAGCATTTATTGATTTCTTTGGTCTGATAACTATATATAAATATATTTAATTTAATTAAATTGTCACTCTAATCACTTAGTTATGAATAGCCTGATAGATTTACATTCCTAAATATGACAAAAACTATGTAGCTTTTTTTTGACATTTTACACAAATGTCATAAACAATGCAAAGGTGTGCCTTTTTTGCTACATTGATGTGGTGGTGCATTATTCGTTTGTCGTACCATTTAGCCTTGCTACAGTGGATTGATCATAAGGAGTTGAGAGCCTGGTGTGACTGACTAAAATAGAAATCATGTGTTGGCTGCCCTTCCACTAGGAAGTGAGGCAGGGCGGTAGAAACTTTTGGTGCAAAACGTTTTATAGCAGCCCGTGGCCCAAAGGTTACACGGCTGGGCTAATCATGGGATGGTTGATGTTTTAAAACCCTTGCCCCAAGTGATGTGTTGAGCACAGTTTTTTTTAAATTTTAAATTTTTTAAATTTTTTTTTTAAAATTTCATACTTTTATCTGACCATGTTTTTTTACTTCCAGCACAGATGCTAGGGAAAAGTGCCAGGCCCAACTTAAACCTCTCTCAGGTTTCTGAGATGATGGAGAAGCTCTTTAAACTCACACCAACAAAACTACACACTCTTCCCAGCTACGATGACCAAAACTTTTATGTAGCCACATCTGAGGGTAAGGAGTACGTCCTTAAGATCCTGAACTCGGAGGACAGTCAGAATCCGACCATGTTTGAGGTGCAGACCTATGCAATGTCCTTTCTTCACCAGAAGGGGCTCCCTGCACAAACGGCTCTGCCCAACATTTCAGGAGAGCTCATGAGTCTGGAAGAAATTGGTACTGTCACAGTCTTACTGTTGAAGAACACATTGTTCATGAACAAACACGTTTGACATTGCATGTTTATTCAGTTTGTTCAATATTTAAGTATGTGGAAACAAGTTTTATTATAAACAGAGGAAAGTTATTTTTGCTGAAACTCCCCAAATTGATAAATATTGACTTTTGCCAAACCTGTTAAGCCTCCCCATGTTGATATAAAGTTCCATTGTTATTCCAAAAAAACAAAACAAAAAAGTGACATATCTGTTAAATATCGAATTGAAATGTATTTCAATACACTAACCCCGTGCCCCTTGGAGGGGCCAGCCCTCCACTTTAAGTAGAACATTAGGTAGTAATTTGACACACACACACACAGCTGTAATACTGATTCTATCTTTATTTTTGCAGATTGTGGCCAAGGCTGCCAAAAGTTCTTGGTGCGACTTTTGACATATTTGCCTGGCACAACAGTTTCCAAGGACCATTTAACAGCAAAATTATTGTATGATGCTGGCAAAATGGCAGCTACAATGGACATGATGCTAAAGGAGGTAAAACAGTTATGAATATTTACCTTTAGCCAGTCTGTTGTTTTCAGTGTGTCGACCTGTCTTTTTTTTTTTTGCTGTGTATCAGGAAGTCAGGGCAATCAAACCTTGACCTCGCAAGTTATAGATGTTGCTGTTAAGGCGGTAATGTTCATTGGCCGTTTCGACGCTGCTGCGTGTTTGTCCATTGCAGTGTCTAATGTATGAGTTGGAAAAAGGTCAACACTGAAGGAGTTCCAGTCCCATTTGGGCTCATCTTTGTAATGAAGCCTTGTCCCAGTTCTGGGTTTGTGTTGTCGTTTCAAGGACGTAGTCAGCGGAAATAGAAAGTGTTCAGGTTTTGTTTTGCTCTTGTCTTTGTTATGATCAGGACTCACCGTCACACAACCGGGCGATCATCACAGCGCGGCTAAAGGCAGTTATAACAGTTATGGTTGTAGAGTCCATCGTTAAAAATGAAGCTGAACGTGCACAGCTACATAAATGTTTCAAGTCTTGTGAAATGTTACCTTCAACGTTCTAATTCTCAGTGTTTCGACCTGTTTTTCCTAGATGGAACATCCAGATCTCCCTGTGCTGGAGAGGAAAGGTTTTAGGTGGAGTCTGTCCTGTGTTCCAATGATGGAATCATATTTGCATATTTTAGATGGAGATCCTCTCCAGGATATTGTTAGGTCTGTCATTCAGCAGTACAAGACCTTGGTGGCTCCAAAATACTCTGAATTTTCCAAGGGTGAGTATCATGTTCAGGTCCAGATTTCATCAAAGTTTTTAAAAAAAAGAGTGAATTCTGCATCATATGGTTGGGATTCCTGAAAAACTAAGAAGGATCGATATGTTTTAGTCTTTCAAAGAGTTGAGCAACAGAGAAACTGAACAGAATTTTAGCAGATGTACTTTTAGGCATCGGTGAGTCACTGTTCCACCCTGACCTCCATTTTCCATGAACCTGGACAAAGAAACATTTTTTGGTGTGTTGCAACCATGTGGTTCTTTCCTTCTGTCTCTCTCTGCGGTCGAGGATTTCCATGATGTGGCATCGGCTGTTTTCAGTCAGTAAACAAGGCTTAGAAGAAGTTGCAGAAAATTATTGCTCGCTTTTATTTACGTAATCCTGAGTGGGTGTAAAATAGTCTGAAGCTGACTGTGGTTTTGTTGGCGTGGAGTTGGACTTGGATCCAAAGAGGTCAGGCCTGAGTCCAGCTGCAGTCCAGTCCCACTTGTGTTTTTAGCCAAATTTCCCATCATACCAGAGCCGTATCCGGGGAATTCAGATTAATATTTGATCTGCATCAGGAAGAGAGTTATTCAGTGCTAAATACTACAATTCAAATGATATCTTGTGAATATCCACTGCGGAAAAAACCTAAAAGACACAAACCTACACAGCAAAGTAATGGTGAATAGTTATCTGTAAAACAGCCAAATGTTTTGGTCGACAGACACATTTCTAAAGTCAGAACTCAATTTTGTTTAACATTATGTTACTCTTTGTTGACACCGTTTGCATATGTAGACTACTGATTTAACTAAGCACACACTGTTCTATCTACAGCCGTGTTTAGCTTCCAGGAGCAAATACAAGAGTTACCGCCTGCAAACAACAGTCTAAAAGTAAATATGTATATGATTCAACTGGTTCAACATTCAGTAAAATTTAACCTAAATAGATGAATAATCAGACAGCCACTGACTCATCTCTGTCGTAAAAAAGAGCCAAGAATATTTGATCTGGACGTTTGACATTTCAATAAAATGACGGTAGAATTTTTTAGCTGTGTCCTGTTCCATTGTCAACCCTTACCCTGACTTGTCTTTATTTCCTAAGGCGTTATCCACGGTGATTTCAATAACCTGAACATGTTGGTGCGATCAGACGAAGGCGGTGAATTCAAGGTCATTGGCATCCTTGACTTTGGGGACATGCACAGTGACGTCCATGTGCACGAGTTGGCTATCACGATCATGTACCTAATGACAGAGCACCCTGATCCCATTGAGGTTGGTGGGCCTGTTCTGGCAGGTTGGGAGAGCCTGTTTCCCCTTAATGAATCAGAGAGAGAATGTCTGTTTACGCTGGTGCTGTGCCGATTCTGTCAGTCGCTGCTTTATGCTCGTTACTTTGTTATATTGAATCCAGAAAATGAAGAGTATTTGATGATTTCATCCAAGAGGGGGTTGGGGATTCTCAAACAGCTAATGGAGCTCGGTAAGGAGAAGGTGGAGAAGGTGTGGTTTGAAAGTGCAGCTGAGTTTAGAGATGGCGAGGAGTGAGGTTTTTTTTTTTTTTTAGACCAAATGAATAATATCAGAGATTAATTTAATGGCATTAACTGGAATCTGTGAAAGTATGTACACCTAACTGACACCAAAAACTTTAATTTAAAAAAAAAACTATCTTCAAAAACAAAAGGGAAAAATATTCAGGCATTAATGACATTAATGAATCGTAATCTGGCAACCACACCGATTTTTGTCCTGTGATTATCTGCAAATAACCTTTAGCAGTATTTTATTATCGTCATTGCTACTTTTCAGGTTTCCATATGTTATTTTTAAGTCCATTTCTTTTAAATTAAGTTCTTATACATGCACACACGCTCCCACGCACACCTGCTGACACACCTACGGTGACACACAAAACACTATTTGTTCCACCTGCAGGCGTACAACCTAAAGGGAAGTCGTGCAGTTTAACACAATTGTTAGTTTTAGTTTTATTTGTTTCTCAGAAAAAAACTACTGCGTGATTATCCAGTAAATGGCTTTGGGGTATTTAAATGTAATTTTAAGAAGTAACACAAGTTGTGTCAAGTCAGACATTGTGAAACTCTAGACTCTGACTGTACTGCAACTTGGTTCAATTTCAAGTTATAGCAAAAAAACAAAAAAAACAAACCTGCTTTTTGCAAATAATGAGTTATTTCTTGGTTTAGCACTTTTGATTTTTCTATTGGTGTACAGCTATTGGTGTACAGTATTAGAATGAAATCCCTTTGGTGAATCTGCTGTTAATAAATGTGTCTCTGAGTGAACTTTGTGTCAAAGGTTGGCCTCAGTCATTTCCTTATCACCTTTGAGTGCCGGAGCTTTTAATAAGTAATCTATTCCAAGCTGAATAATTTCTTGTAAATTCATCTCCTGATTCTGACCATGTCGACCCTTCTCGTGTTTTCATCCTGTGTCTGTGAGCTTTCACCCCCTGCTCTATCCTCTGCCTGCAGACGGTCAGATTGCTAATGAGTTGATTAACAAAAAAATATGTGCATCAAGCACAAATGGTTTGTTTTGAATGTCTGGGGGCAGGTTGCCAGTCCTTTGTGGGGCTGACATTCAGGGAGGCTGTGCACAGATGTCAGCTGCGGTTGGCTTTAGGTTGTCAACTTTTACAGAGCAAGTTGGAAATGCAACAAATAGATTCATAATGAATGTGAAGGCATGAGCTGCTAAGGTAAAAGGAGTTTTTTTTGTTTTGTTTGTTTAACATCAATGGTTAGATAACCCCACTGCTCATTTTAGAAATGTATACTGTATGTATGTGTGTGTGTGTGTGTGTCCACTACTTAATGACTCGATGGAGTGAAGCCCCACTTCCACGGATGTGACTTTCCCCCCATAATTTACCTGCTGTAGTGAATCAACAGTTGATTTTGAAGGAGCTCGAGTCTCAGTCATTAAATTGAGCTTAGTTTAAGGGTATTTTTACCTACTTATTTTTTATTTTTTTTACCTACTTATTATTAATTATTACTAATTATTTTTTAGTAGGTTTTGTTAATTAAAAAATATTTTTACACTGTGTATTATCTACACAATGTTTTATATAAATATGTATATATGTGTATATATATATATTTTCAGTTTTCTCTAAAGGTGAGTAAAAAGTAAAAATATATCCCAAATACCTACTTATTATTAATTATTACTAATTATTTTTTAGTAGGTTTTGTTAATTAAAAAATATTTTTACACTGTGTATTATCTACACAATGTTTTATATAAATATGTATATATGTGTATATATATATATTTTCAGTTTTCTCTAAAGGTGAGTAAAAAGTAAAAATATATCCCAAATTGTATAGAAAAACAACAGAATTCATAGATATATATATATATTTTTTTACAACGAACACTTGCGAAAAATTGCAGACTAGGCAGCATATTGTGGAAAAAAATTAATGCACTGCTTCCCTCTGCTGGTCATTGAGCGGCTGTGCAAATGTTTGGAATACTGTATTGAGTGTCAGTGCAGCGTCACTCAATAAACCAGTTTCATCTTGGCCACATTTTTAGCTTAGGATATTTATTTAAATTAACATTAAATATAAAATTATATATATATATCATACATCTAACTCTTTGAACGAAGTCATAAATAAACAGGCTCATATTTGCTAATTACCAAACACAAGTTGTGATTAACTTTTTATACTTTTCAGTACAACATATAAGTGGAAATGTCTTTATAAAAATACTTAAAATAAGAGGGCAGCCAGTCCATTCATGCATTATAAATTTTTGTTGAACGTGGAAATGTGTCGTGTCATTTACTGTACAATGCGGTTTAGGAAACCTCGGGAAAATTGAGTAATTCCTGCGGCAGTCCTGTTCTAAACATTCTACGAAGAGAGCTGAAGTAATAAAACCGAAGCACTAGATGGAGACATGTGACCATTTATGTCTGCTTTGGGTCGGAATGAAGTTTTAATACGAGGAACTTTATAAAAAAAACAATAATTTGCTTCCTTTTATTGTTGTTCATTTAAATTTTATATACATGCGACACTTTGTTTTTCAATTTTGTTAAAGTCCACAGAGCTTTAGTTTTTCATAAAATATTTCTAAGACGTAATGCCCTCACATTAGTCTGCACTAAAAGCACAGTTGAATGTATTGGACTTCACTCTATCGTTCTCCAGACACCAACACACACCTCCCCTGAATATTTCCACATAAAAACACAGTCTGACCTCTGACCCTGCTGCCAACTGGGATCTAATGCTGTAGGAACGGTGAGCCAATATAAGTACTTTGCACTTTTCTCCATATATCAACTACTTTCCCTCCTCACCCGCTTCTCCCTCTTCTCCCTTTTTCTCTCTCCATGACCTGGCCTTTTTTTTCGTAATACTCTGAAGCCCAGCTCAGAAAAACCACAGCTGAAATAGAAATGGCAACACTCAAAGGACTCCAGTGTAAAACACCAGCTCCACTTATCAGTGCCATTAATCCTCTTGGCATTTCAGGAGCGGAGCGGTGGTTCTATGCAGGACCACCAACCTGCAGGTCTGGATTTTCTGTCCGTACAAAAAAAAACCACAGCACGGTGTAGACTTTAGGTTCTATTCTGATTCAAGAGCTCGTTCAAAAACACGACTCTCTTCAAACTATTTTTTATGTAAGAATGAGAGAAAGATTTATTAAAATTTGACATGGTATAACAATAACATAATATACATAATAACTTCAACTATTAGAGTTTGTTTTTATAATATTAAAATGAAAATAGTTTATGCCACAAAAAAAAATACTCAAAGTTGCAATGGGTTTTTTAGGAAAAACTGGAAATGATTCTTACTCTACTTAGTGTGCAAATACCGACGGGGGATTATACGCCATTATATTTGCAGCTACTTCTTGAAAAGTACATGGCACTTTGTTTAAAAAACAAAAAACAAAATCACAAATCTGTCCAGTTTTCCCAATGTGACACAAATCAGGAAAATATTGAGAAATCTAAGGTCTAAGCCCTCTTGTAGGCCCCGCCCCCTACTTTGGGAACCCCTGGCTTACTCAGTGAGAAACTCAGCTGAGTGGATTTCACCATGAATAGTATGAATGACACACCGCGTTTAACCGTGATTTTCGGCCCAGTCTTGCACCATGTGAGAGCTGAAACAATTCAAAAACAAACCTCATTACGCCACGGCTCCACTGGCTGCGTTTCTTTCTCTATTTTATTGAAAACAAATGTCAGTCTCTGTCCTTAATGCTTATTCATCACTCGTACGGCTCTCAGTCGCTGCCAAGCTGAGCAGTTTGGACCAATTCACTCCATGGATTCATGACAGACATTTGAATAACGCACTTTAAGCCCGGACCATGTCGTGGCCAAGATGTCAGAGTTTGATACCAGGCTAATGGATCTCTCTCTCTCTCTCTCTCTCTTCCCGGCCTCCCTCTGTTAACAAGGATGTTTCTCATCTGTTACTTTATGTGACAGATAATAATTTAATTAAAGTACTTTACACAAACAGACGTGGGTCCATTACTTAATTGTGCGGCCCACAAAGTAGGCCATTACCTCACATTCATTAAAGGGCTTTTGTTGATGCCATTGTGACAAACGTCGGACTGAATTATAGCAAATGTTTGTTCTAATTGTTGTATTACAATTCATCATTTGGCTCTGGTAATTAAGTGTTTTATTTTTTTTCCTCTAAAGTAAAGAATTCAACAATGACATCACTTTATAAAAACGGGACGTGTTTTTTTTTTATCCAGTCGTTCCATTCATGATGAGAGAAAAGGGAAGCGTTGAACCAGTGACAGTGATGGTGCAGAGAGACAGGGCTGATGTACGCCGCTGTGGCACCGCGCGGGCTTCTTCTGTCTTATCAGTTATTTCCAGTGCATCTTCGCGTTTCAAATGGATGTTCTCAGCCTTCTCTCACCGATTGTTCCTCATCGCTCCATCAATAGCCTGAGGAAGACTCGGAGTGAATTCATTAAACCGTCGCACATTATCACGTGTCTCCCCTTTTTTTCGGCGGACACTTTTCAATTGGCTGTAACAGGCGTCATGTTGGTGTGTGTGTGTGTGTGTGTGTGTGTGTGTGTGTGTGTGTGAGAGCCAAACAGGTGAAAAGCACAGTGGCCTCTCGGGGCTCCAACATGAGCCAGGAGCATGGAGAGGGGTGGCTAATCAATTGGACAGAGCAGATTTACTGAGTGGCCTCAGTCACACACACAGGCTGCAGAGGCAGAGGAGGAAGTTTGTGTGTGTGTGTGTTTTTTACATGGGGGGTTACATTTGGGTTAGGGTTACAGATTCAGTTTTTCCCATGGTTTGCAGTGAAGTAGAGGAGCAATGTTTAAGTTTTTTTTTTTTTTGCTATAACTTGAAATTGACCTAAGTTTCAGTACAGTCAGAGTCTAGAGTTTCACACTGTCTGACTTTGACTCGTCTTGTGACCCTGATCCACCCACAGTAAATGTAAAGCTAGTGTTGAACTGTAATAAATACCCAGAAGCCATAGACCGGACAATCACTTGATAGTTTTATACCAGTATCGATGTTGGAAAAACTAAAGGATGTGCATGGACAAACAAATGAAGCCATCAAATAACAACTGGGTCGAACTGCACGACTTCTCTTTAGGTTGTACGCCTCCGAGTGGAACAAATGGTGTTTTGTGTGTCATTGTAGGTGTGTCAGCAGGTGCAGCATGAAGTCAGTATGTATGTGTGTGTGTATGTGTGTGAGATTAATGCATGAGTCATGTCTTTCTGGTTGGCTGCCCTCGGGGCTTACACCATAGGGATTTGATTTAAAACAACTGGAATTAAAAAAAATCACATATGAAAACAGAAAAGTAACAAAGATAATACAAAAAAGTTCTACTGGGAGAGAAAACGTCTTCTCTTCTTAAATCCCTGAGCTGCAAGTGTGTTTATCTCTCTCCATTTGACAAATGACACCTATTAAAGGGAGAAAAAGCAGAGGAATTAAAAAAGAAAAGCCGATGCCGGAAAAAGCAATTTATCGAAACTGTGTAAATGTATGGAGGTTGGCGGGAATAGTTAAGCCAACATAAAGCTCTGGCCAAGAGTTGATAATATTTTGTCTCTGTCAAAGGCCCTCAGTTTTCAGTTGAAGTGAAGTTTTAATTCAACATATAATTTCCAGTAATTCTGCAAAAAACTCCCCGGTCTTTGTGGGGAAGAAATTGAGGTGACGCAAGGTCGATTTTGTTTCCCATTTGCTGGCACGATTGAGGAAACAGACCAAGAAACATTTCCTTTTTTGCGCAGCTG